CCCCCCTCTCGCTCTCTTTTCTCTTCCCCACTCTCTCTCTTTCCGACTCTCTCATTCGCTCTCTCACACGCCAGCGCACATCCTCGCCAAACTCCGTGCGTCCTGACATCTGAGTTCACTGTCAATCTCTGTCCACTTCGCAGGGATATCCCCTCCGTCTCCGCCGAAGACCACTGGAAACTAATTTTTCCTCTTCTAAACTTCCCGAGAGAGACTGATCCTGGTCGGCTTTTTTTTTTCTCTTTCTGTGGTGTGGAGAACTAGGCTATAGCCTGTAGTTTGCCAAGGACTTTGACAACGACGCAGGATGCCCCAAAAAGGTGAGATCTTGACTAAAAGTTTGTCTGTGCTGTTAAATTACTGAATTATTTTTCTAATGTGTTGTTATTATTGTGTATTATTCTATTCTATTATTATTGTTATTATTATATATTATTGTTATTATTATTATTATTATTATAGGTCATTTATTGTCGGCTGTAGGTTGAGGTTCAGTGGTGAGGTTGTGGGTGTTTTCCCCTTTTGGACTGTGCAGCCTGTCTTCTGACTGGACTCCTTCAAAAGTGCGAACAGCCTTTAGCGTCTCTTCTGTCTGTTTTATCTGCTCGATTTTGTTGCTGTGTTTAGGCCTACGGATAGCTTACCGCTTATTTATGACAGTAAAGAGTAAAAAGTCACGTTGGGCCAGGACAGTGATCATCGTGGAGAATGGGGCGCAATGACCCGTTGAGGAAAGGTGTCAGATTGATTCATACAGGCGAGTCACCCAAGCGCCTTCTCAAAAAAAAATAAATAAAAAAGAAGCTCCATGGAAGCACTTGGGGAGGAGGCCCGTTTTTTTATCGTGTTTGTGTGTCAGAGAAAATACAACTTTCCCCCCTTTTTCTAAGCTGTCTAAAGCTGCCCTTAATGACAGCGACTTGAACTACTTTTACATTTTAGCAGTTGTAGTATTTTAAAAAATGTCATACATATATGTTGACAGGCCTGTCAGCCTATTCATAGCAAATAATGTTGAAAATAAATTACTTTAGCGATTTCATAAAACAAAAAAAATATGCACACAAACAGCTGCTGCTTTTGAACTATTTTGTCAAAACTATTAGGCGGATTAATACAATAAAATAGATGCAATGCTTTATTGTAATTGTGCATATTTATTTTGTAATTGTTAAAATAAATCCGGAATAATTCATCGTAAAAAATATAATACAATTAAAACAGACTGGTAGCAAAACCTCACCGGGCCTATGGTTTAATATGTTAATATCCACTTAAATTGTTGATCCTCTGAGTTGAGATTAAAGTTGCTGGCTACATGCACGCTACCAACCAATTCACTAAATGCATTCTGCAATATGCAACACATTTTTTTTAAATAACCCTTGTGTAGGCTATATATTATCTATTCCCTGTTAGGTTGCAACTTGCACCGGGGCCATTGTGGTCCAGGCCTACATGGACTCCTTCTGCATATGAATGTTGAGAGCGCAGGATCCAGCGGTCACAATAAGCATGTTGAATTAAAGACATTGTTGTTACGGATTACTAAAGGAAAAGAAATGCAGATTAGATCGTAGTTAACCTCAGGAACAACAACGTTTGAGCTTTCGACCTTAAATAAATGATTAACCACTTGGACCTTGCGAGGCTAAAAGCTACTGACTGCAGTGCATTTCCAGGCTGACCAGGGTGTTTTTATTTATAATTATTTACATTATACTTTAACATCGTGACATTACACCAATAATAATAATAATAATAATATCCGAATTAGGCAGTGGTTGTTTTGGTAATTTTATGTTATGCTAAACGGGCTATCTCAGGCTATGTGGCCAGTGTGATGGAATCTGAATTTGATTAATGCCCATTTGTTAAACATGAAAGAAAGCTACACTCTAAATGCAATGGCGGCCTGCGCGTCTCACAAACCAGCCTCGGACTAAACACAGCCTGTTAGACGACGTTATTAGGCCATTTTGCTCTGCACACAACACAACTTTGCATGGAGGGAGAAAACTTCAGACTTCTCCCTCCCTGGCCCCCTTTTTATCTGTCCCCTCCAGTCAATAGCTTCTTTAATGCATTTGTCTTTTCCAATTGAGCGCCCTACTGCGCTGTTGTGTCTTTCAACCCGCTTTACAACCCGCACCAGCAGCACAAAATAACCACCAAATATTTAGAACAAGAAATTACTTTTTAAATTTTTTTTTTCTATAAAAGCAGGACAAACAAAACCCACATTCACGCACTAGCGGCACCGAGGTCACGGTCGTGTGTGACAGTGTGTGTGTGTGTGTGAGAGAGAGAGAGAGTGTGTGTGTGTGTATGAATGGTCCCGGAGGGGGTGGATGCATGCCTCCGGCTCTTTGTATTAATCTGAACTTGTTGGTGTGTTTAGTGGGGAAGCTGTGTGTTTCTGGTCGCGGAGGCCGAGTTTTCGCCCCGGGTTTGAGGTATACGGAGGCAGAAAAGGGGGTGCATTGTTGGAGTCCAGCAGGCTTTGTACACCAGCTTTGTACCCCCTCCTGGTCTGGACTTTTGCAGAGCAGTGAGGCGAGGTAGACAACGTGTGTCACTGTACAATTTCCACGATAGAGGAGGGATATCGAGTAAAAAAAAAAAAAAAAATCTCGCTGAGACGATGAGGACTGATTGCTTTATGTGAACAAAAAAAAAGAAAGAAAGAAAAAAAAAAGACAAAACAGCAGGACCAAAAAGCCTCGAAAAGAAATAGTGTTGTAAGAGTTCCAGGCCCAGTATCACTACAAGGCTGTTTGTTTGAATTTATTTTGACAGGGCCTAACAGAGATGTTCAAATAATCTTGTCCCGCGTCATTTTTGATGTATTTACCAGGCAGGACATTGAGGTTAATTGTAAATGTAGGGCACAAATGAAGATACAGTAGGTTTAAAGTGCACCAGTATAGCTGTGGCTGTGCTAATGTGTTGTTTTGCTTTGTCCTATAGGGAGACATTAAGTAGTGAAAACGGCAGATGATTGACTAAATTGTTATAGAGTGGACAGTCAACTCTGTTTCCAGGCAAGTTTAATTAAAATACATACATACACTGAGGATGTGAAATTCATTATGCTTCAATAATGTTTAAGCACAAAGATCCCGCAAATATTCTAATCGAACGATGAGATCAGAAACTTTTATTATTTAAAATAAAATTGTTGCAAACAATTTTGACAGTATATATACATATTTAAAAAAAAAGATGTGTACACGCTATGTTTACTATGTGATGTTGACCAGCTTTGTTTTTTCCTTGTGACGCTTAGAATACCACAACCAAGCCACGTGGGAGTCTGGCGTAGCCTCAATGATGCAGAACAGTAAGTTGATTTTTATGTTGTTGTTTTTTTTGTTTTGCTTTAGAAACATTTTTATTACAACCGCGAGTTTTCAATGTTGTTGCATGGATGCAACACCCACTGACATTATGCACTGGTTGTTATAGCGCAATAACTTTAAAAAACACTTTAAAGGAGGGGAAGAAAAAAACAGAAATGTATGTGCAGAGATAAATTTGCATGACTTTGAGGTGCAGGGGAGAAATATTCTCAGTTATTTGATGGCTGTTTCATTGCTGTTAATTTATATATTTATATATTTTTTTTGCAATGATAGGTGGACAAGTTATTATTGAACAAGTTAATCACACGTCGTCCTGCTCCAGAGAGAGAGAGAGAGAGAGGGAGAGGGAGATAGAGAGAGGGAGAATAGAGGGGGTTGGGTTGAGAGGGAGATTTTTGTTTCTGCTTGAGTTGGTATTAAATAATTGCACAGCCGTCTGCATTAGCGTTAGAGCTGGCTGCCAGGCTGCATACAAGATTAGCTGCGTAGAGAAGAGCCCTGCATGAAACATGAGGAATAGCAATAATGTCTTATGTAGATTAGTCCATATTCTTCACGGACAGACTGCATGAACTAGAAAGAAAATGCTCATATTATAACCGCAGGCCTCACTGTTAGGTGCAGTGGAACTCCCCAGCGGAAGATAAATATTAACAACCATATTGTCGTGGGTGCCAATCAAAAAAAAAAAACAAAAAAAAAAAACACGGTAGATGAAGTTGCTTAAAGGCCTCTGTGTTTAAAGTGGCCCATGAGTTGAATATTTTGTTTTTTATACCTGGTGTGTGTGTGTGTGTGTGTTTAAAACAAAAAAGGATAAACATGAAACATTTTCTCTCTTGCTGCTGGACAAGAGGTGTATGACATCTGTGATGAAGGTGTGTGGAATAATTTTATTATATTATTCTCCATATACCTCGATGACGTGTCTGTGCTGTAACCTGTGCGCATTTAGTTCAAATATGTTTGAAGCCAATGTTGGTTCCACGTGACGAGCTGGGTGGTTTTTGTGTGTGTGTGTGATTCAGAAGAAAACAGCACGCAGAATAAGTGACCCCGTGATGAAAACACTGCAGAAATACTTTCACAAACTGGTGGCAGCAGACTTTTATTTAATAGGCCGCAGCGCTGTGATTTGTCGCTTGTCCATTATAGAGATGATGGGGGCCTTATCAAAGCTGTGTACAATACCCAGTGCTCCTGCTTTGCTGCGGATTGATGATAATGGGATGCTCCCCTGGCTTGGCGTGTGATGTCTGGTGCGAATTGCCGAGGAGATATCATTGGGCCCGGCCCTTTGGGTTGTCTAAAGGTCGCCTCGGCCTCGGTGGCTTTTGTGCTAATAACTCCTGGGTGTATATGGTGGGGAGCGTCCAAATTGACACCATATGTTTTCCTATTAGTCGACTTGCAATAGAATACAAGGCGCATAATCAGCGCCAGCGGGCGAGATCGACTCTGGGCACTTGAGGGAATTGTGCCATGATTAAGACTTAACCTTAGGAGAGTTTTGATTTTTATGTGATGTCCTTATCTGACGGTTTTATCGATCCGGAGGATTTATGTGATGGTAATAAATAAGAGGTGATGGAGAGGCCTTTGGAGAACCCGCAGAGCAGGGCTGCTTAATGCGGGCAGGCCAATTTCAGCGTAAGAAGTCTATTAATTCCACTTAATCCTGGAATTACCAAAGAGCAGGAGGGATGATAATGGGTTTACTATCAACCAGATCCACGCTAGAAGATTATTACACATGGCGGCCAAAAGGGGATATGTTACCCAGTTAAACAGGTTTATTTTCACTCATCTATACAAAAAGGCCCCATTTGATAATTTATATAAAATAAAGTGTGCAGTTTAAAGCAGGGCACTGTGACATATTTCAGAGCAAAGACGCCTACCGATTGCGCACAACAGGACTGCAGTGGCAGTGAGCATTTGTTGTCAAATACAAACAAGAGGGGGGGAAAAAAACTGCATGTCACTTTTAATATGTTAAGAATCCAGGCGCGCCCTCGTTTGTGTGACCGCGCGTAGCCCCTGGCCACCTTAAAACGAAGTCTCCCTCGGAGGGTAAACGAGTAGCGTCCAATTTTGTCTGAGTGATATCCAAATGCAGACAGAAAGGGTCGTTTTATCATGCTACTATTTGTCGTGACGATGCGATTTTCAAAAGCAGAGCGGTGTCATAAAGTGACATGCCTGCCACAAGTGCTCCAACTGATCTTTTCAATTAGCCTCCCATGCATGATCCGAGGCGACTTCCGCCTATTTCCAGAAATTAAGCTCAAACTTGACGTGCAGCTAACTTTATTTTAAAGACAAATGTCAGGCAGGCTCATCATATTTTCCCCCTCTTCTATATTTGGAGCTTATTTATTGCTAAGGAGCCTCTGCTCCCGGAGTCAATGTACCGGGCGGCAGCGCAGGGGAAGGGAGCGGAGAAACAGAGAGCAGCTCAGGCACTCCGGGGAGTCAGCTCACCCATTTGGCTTCAGGTTTGCGGGCTTATTCTGTGCTTTACAGAGATGCTATAGAACAATTTAAGGATAATTTAGCTAAAAAAGCTATTTTTTTTTCTTTTAGACAATAGCCAATCATAAAATGTGCTGTTTTTAAGAGCTGGTGTCCTGTGTGGTGCCTGTCTTACTGGCGCGTAATTGTTGTGTTTTAAAGAGGACTATCGTTGTCGATTTTAACGTCACTTTCCAAAAAAGCGACGCCTTTTGAATGGAAGCTAATTGAACACATTATTTCAGCTATAGTGTTTTCTGTGATTGTCGCTGCTGCTGGTTGTTATTCTGAGGATAGTTCATGAGAGAGGTGCTGGTTGTTGGGGATGCGCAGCTGTACATGAGGGGATGGATAACGGTGCGAATGTTTTATTACCGAACTTTCCCGGTTTGATAAAAGGTTGGTTGAGTTTCCTCGAGGCAAAAGACCGACTGATGTGTTCATTTATTATTAGAAAAAAAACCATATTGAGATCTTTTTGGTTCAGTTTATGTGAAGCTGTTGTCGTTTAATCCATGTTCTGCATGTGTTACTGAATAACTGCGCAATGTTTGGAATGTAACTGAGCGGTGTAACAGCTTCTTCAAACTATTGTTTTATCAGTGCATTTCGATTTAAAACACTTTTTTTTACAAGCACATGACAGTTAATTTATTTATTTTCAAGTGTAATAAACCTTCTGTACTTTATGTTTCATATTTAACTCGGTTATCCTGAGCGCTTCTTCCATTCTCCTCACCATTCAATGACAATCATTTGCTTTATCACATATGTTTTAATTGGAGTTATAATACCGTGTGATGACTGCGATGCTTTTGTCTCCATGTAGGTCACAGTGGCGTAAACCAGCTTGGTGGTGTGTTTGTTAATGGTAGACCGCTGCCGGATTCCACCAGGCAGAAAATAGTTGAACTTGCTCACAGTGGTGCTCGACCCTGCGACATCTCCAGGATACTGCAGGTGACAACCACACTCCCTTTTAAACAGAAAACAGGTTCATACAGACTGTGTTTTCAATGGATACAAACTGCTTTTTTAAAGATAATAGAATTAAGGAAATAAAATACGACATCACGGTATGCTGTTACCATTACATCCATGTTTCCTTTAGTTTAAATGTTGCATTTTATGATTGTTTCGGAGTCAGTAAAATTATTTTTTACTAGTTCCATCACTCCGTTTACTGGAAATGTAATAAGGCTGACAAAAAGGACAATAATCTGCCTGCTCTTATAAAGAACAGATCTATTGTAAGAAGTGCCTAATATACCATTCAAGGCATATTTTTTGTGTTTATAGACCCATGATGAAGTCCAAGTGCTGGACAGTGAAAAGGTGATAATTATTTGACGCCATCTTAGAAATTCCGTTAATAGTCGTAAATAATGTATGTGAATTGTGTCTTTTGTTTTCTATCCAGGTATCCAACGGCTGTGTGAGCAAGATCCTGGGCAGATATTATGAAACTGGCTCCATAAGACCGAGAGCAATAGGCGGCAGCAAGCCCAGGGTCGCCACTCCAGAGGTGGTCGCGAAAATCGCGCAGTACAAGCGGGAGTGTCCGTCTATCTTTGCGTGGGAGATCCGTGACAGACTTCTGTCGGAGGGGATCTGCACCAACGACAATATACCCAGTGTAAGTGTACTGACTGTAAGTTATGTGCATGATTTAATTTGCCATATGAAATGACTTTTTTTCTCCTCATGCAGTGGAGGAAAAGGAGATGGGCAACCAACCATTCAGTCTTATTAAATACACTGCGTTTCAAAGTGTTGGGGGGTGGGGGGGCACGCATTACTGCATATGTGATCACCCAAACATACAGTCAATTAGAGGGAGCGTGATGTCCATGTGTGCGCTTGGCAGGGACATCTTCCTGTGCACATTTATTTAGATTATAAGGTGTGTGTGTGTGTGTGCCACCTTTGTGCCCGATACGGCGCTCCATCTGATCCTAATCTTTACTTTCATCATATGTAATTTGTCATTCAGGTGTCATCGATAAACAGAGTCCTCCGCAACCTGGCTAGTGAAAAGCAACAGATGGGCGCAGATGGCATGTATGACAAGCTGAGAATGCTCAACGGTCAGACAGGAACTTGGGGGACCCGGCCCGGCTGGTACCCCGGAACATCAGTGCCAGGGCAGCCCAACCAAGGTGAGCCTCATTATCACACAGTGGCAATAAAGACACCTTGACGCACGCACGGCTGTAACGTTGTATCGGAGAAGGACACAACCAGGCGGGTCTAGGTCTGCTTTGGCTTCTCAGGCTGGGCGACAAAAAACAAAATAAAATGATTTGCCTTAAATATAATCTGTTAAGTGCATTACTGTGAACTCCACAGAGGTCACCATACATTGTCCTGTTTGCATATGAATAGTTTTACAGCTCACAATTCCAGTGCTCTTGTAAGAAAGGCTCATAGGACAGGACGTTTGCAGGAAGGTATTGTATTGACATGCTTTGATGCCCTGAACAAGACCCCCAATTAAGACTAGTCGATTAGAGGAAGCCATGGGCCATGCATGCAGTCTGAATGCCTCCACTGTCCCAGACATGGATGTGCGTGACAGCGGCTTGTCCTTTCAGCAGAGGNNAGCCTGCATTTTCCTTCCCTCCTGATGGGGAGGCAGAGCCGGGGAGCTGTGCGCGGGGATATTAGTACAAAGGAATGTTTTCCTTCACACGCAATGATTGGTTATGGGAACGGTCCGCACTACGTGTAATTGCTCATTAGAGAGGGCTTTGTCTCTCATTATGGCAACATGCAGGAGTGTGGAGATGGGAAGGCTGCTGTTGAAATATTCCACTTCAGAAGGTTTCCCTTTGTCGGCCTGCTGAAGGCCAAACACTGAGCAGATCTCAGATATCATTTCTCTCATAAGAAACGCCACCGTTTTGGTTTTGTTTAACGTTTGCTTTGCTTCCTGAATATCCATTCATTGGACAAGTATTAGTGCGAAGCATTGTGTCTGATTTATATGCGCCAGAGGGGAAACGCAAGTGCTGGAATTCAGTCAAGTAGCAAATAATAATTTGCATTTGTTTGATGACCATTTGGACACGTGGGGCTGTTATCAACAAGCAGTAAAGCGGAAACGATCATATTAACGGCTAAAATGATTAACTTAATTTTGGAATAATAATAACTTATTGTTTTTATTATAAATTATGTATAATTATTTAACATGCTATATAACCACCTTTTATTTATTTTTTTCAATTTGACTTTGGTAGGTACTTTAATTTGGACTTTGGTACAGTCTATCATAAGACATTAGATTATTATTTATTTATGATAAAGATCATATTTAATAATTAGTATTACATAGGATTATATTTATTATGATATTAATTCTGTAACATAATAATAATAATAATGAGGATAATAAGTTATAATTAGTTCTTTGTTTATTTTGTTTTTAATTCAAGTATTTAAGTAAAGCTGTTGTCTCAAGGGAACGAAAATATGTTTTCCATCCGACAGCCGAGTAAGCAGATATAATAGCTACATGGAGAGTGACAGGTCCCTAAAAGAAGACAACTCTATCCAAAGAGGAACGAATAAAACTCCTCACCGATTTTGTCTTTTATCTCTTTCTCATTCTCGCTCGCTGGCTATATGGCTCTAAATCCCGTCTATAGGATTTAGTCTCTCACTTTCTCTTTCAGTTCTAAGCGGTTTCTCAAGAGTGTTTTGATCCGGTCTCAGCAGCTGAAAGGTGCCGCAATTGGTTCGGTATCTCTTTTTTTGCTGCTTTTCCGCCTCACTGGCTGAGACATCGTGATACTAAAGAATGAGTTTATTTCCCAGCGCTTTTATAAAGAAAACAAATCCCATCCTAGCGTCAGTGGGTCTGGCAGACGGATAATAGCTGCACATTCACTCCTTTTTATGGATTATCCAGAGTGAAGAAACAAATAGCGTGGATACAAACTATTGGCCTAGAAGAATACTTTTGTCTATTTTGCAGCAGGGGAAATTGTCAAGAAACATGTCCGTCAGGTTTCCTCCAGTGAACCAAGACTTTTCTATTTAGACACACTAAATATGTTTTCAGGCCTGCACACAGGCATGCGAAATAATGCTGTGAGCACAGTGCAACTTGCTTGACGAAAAACCTTTTATATAATCATAGTGCTGCATCTTTCCCACTTTAACTTCAGTTTGACAAAATTAAAGTTTGCACACTCAGATTTGTGGGTGTGCATGCACTCGTTTGCCCCTTTTTTAGGGTGCACGGCAGCCTAGTTCACACATAGCTATGTAGGCCATCCTGCACCTGTTCCATCCCTTTTTACAACAACCTCTTGCCCTTGAGCAAGGCACCCCCCCTCACTAAAACAATGCCAATCCGGTTACAAACATAAACTAAATCTGCATACAGAAAGCTAAAATGCCAATTCATGAGTCCAACCCCTCCACACAGTCACCACTGAGATATTACATGAAACCACCCTCTATCAACGCAACCCCCTGCTTAATTTCGCATTAACTTCTCGGTGTGATAATGATGTCCAACAACAAGACAGACATTAGTCGATAAGCCTCGCCCTGCAACTGAAGGGGCAGTGAATAGATTGGCCTTATTTTGGTTGTTCAGGGGGTTGCATGCTCTCTCCTCACTCATTTGTTTCCAATTGAAGACAGAAATCCTGACTGGCGTGTAGCTGGCCGGGGGACGTGATTAATGATGGTAGTGGATAAGGGTTAACACACTGGACTCAAAGCTCTGTTGACTGGGATCCTCGTGCGCACAATGCCAAAGTACTATAGCCTTGTGCGCCTCCAGAGAGAGAGGATCCTTTTGTCATGTCCTCCAATAGCCCCCCTCCCATATATTACACCCACCGAGGGCTCACTGCTCGTCCCTGGCTGTGTCCATAGTTTAATGGTTTCCCTTACTCCTGAAGGCATTGTATCATTCTGAAAAGCGTCTTCTCCTATTCAAAAGTTGGTGGTCACCTCAATGGCTATACCAACGCCCATATGGGAACGACCATTGAGGCATTGCTCTGCCCTAAAAAAAAGAGAAGGGGGCTAGAGAGTTTGGGGTTTTAATACATTTCATAGGCTCTGAAAGGAGGGCTCGCCACATCTTGTCACATTTCTCTTAACCTTTTGAGAACACACGCCATTGTTGGGAAGCGATAAGTACGGCGGAGCCTTTTCCCTCCACAGCATGTTTTTCCCACAATATTTTATAAACAGTTTAACTGCGAAGCCTTTTTTTTTTTCTTTTCTTTTTTCATATTGTCCCTTTTCATGCAGTCTCTAATCCGGAAACATTAAGAAAAAAATGCAATCATTCCTCTGATTTTGAATTAAATCAACCATGATAGGGGCTTTAATTAATGATGTCGCACCGCGGTCTGTACAATTAGCTGTAGGCAGATACAACACCAGACCCGAGAATTAATTATTCAATTAGCTTAATTGAATGTATATTTTCATTATAAATATATATATATATGATTCAGAGGAGACACAGATGAGACTGCAGCTCAAGAGAAAGCACAGAGAAATCGCACGTCCCTTCACACAGGAGCAAATTGAACTTCTGAAAAAGGTCCAGTAGATCTGTTATATCGCCGCCATAAGGAATTAGTTTCTTGATGTGAATGATGTTATGTAATTGTTGTTCGTTAAAATACACACCTTCCAGATGATCTTATGTGAAT